TTGGGATTCTGGTATATGATTCCAACTATTACCTTCTAATATATGAAATGATTTCTTCAAAACTTATATACCTTGGCTTTGAATTGTATAAACTTTAGCATTGTTAGATTGAACAAAACTGGATATGTGATAATCCCTAGAAATCGAAGTTTACTAATACAGATTTCAGCATCTTTTCTTCCTGACTTGAGAGGTTAATTAACAATAAGTTATGGAGAATTTTTACTATGGTTTAAAATAAACACTTTGGCATAGAATATTAGTTTTTAAATGTATTTGAGCATAAGAATTATAGCCAGCTAGATGAAATAGACTATGGAACTGCTAAAACTACCCTTCAAAAACCTCTTCATTCAGATCCTCTCACACATAACATTCCTCCACTCCTATAATTCTGATTTCTTATTGCATTCGCCATATTACGTCATTTAACTTAGTAACCAATTATTAGTCCGATCTTGGTAAGTCTTCTTCTCACTACTATTTCAAGCATTACGTAACTCCGTTCATAAAAATTCCATGAAGCATTTTTCTGTTACAATGTATATACATATATATATTGATTGGTCACGGGAGTACAACCAGTTTCATGTTTGTCTAGTCCTGAAGGCAGACCGAATCCTATCGATAACACTTGCAATGTGGCAACCAAGCTAGGAAGCTCAGTATTGCGGTGCCCAATAGTAGATGTTAGTTGGTTGGAAAAAATCGGCAGAAAGCCCTGCTTGACCTAGATTTCGTGCTTTTTAGCGCTGGTCAGAAAGGCGTATCTGCAACCTCGACGGAACTGATGGTCCGCCTGAGATTCGAACCCGCATCACCCAGTGTTGTAGTCAGCAACTTTACCACTGAGCTACTCGGGCCCGCGACTGACTTCCTGTAGGACTGGCTTACATGTATTGATTGGTCACGGAAGTGCAACCGATTTCATTTTGTCTAGCTAACGTCATTTGGAGAACCTTTGAAAACCTGGAAGTACTGAACAGTCGCCGTTTCGTCTTAGTGTGGAACTCCTTATCAGCACTCACCCATGACCTCGCCAAGGATGATATTTTTCTACCTATGAATATTCTAATGATTTCCACCAATGCTCAAGGACTATAATAGGATAATATTATCCTCCATTCTATATACAATCTATCCTACAGACTGTAGTGTTTTAGTGGAGTCTACAACCAGTGGTTGTGAATGCTGAAATTGGTTAATTCATCTAATCCACTCCTACATAGTGTCAGTCACCGTCCAAATGGTAACTTCACTGACTGCAAACATTTGAGATTCTTGGTTTCAAATCACTCACGGGACATCAGTTCTTTCCAGGTTATGATTACTTATTATTGACGAATGCCAACGAGCAAGAATCTTAGGCAGAGGAAAACTTCATTACAATTGCCTTCATATAAATTACATTTAGTCATGATTTTTCTAAAGCTGTACAATCATATTTACATATATCTCCTAAACATATAACAGTCTGTTATAAAACAATAGGGTATAATAGCTACCACATTAACCTAGTGCTACAAAAACCTGAATCAAGAATGCAAAGTAGTTGAGTAATAAACTAAGACAGTAGAAATATCGAGTAAGGCAAGGAGTTTGACAAGGTGAAAATTGTTGGTAGATAAGAAACGCAAATATTGACTGTCTACTTGATAGATAGATGGATGTAAAGAAGGTGAAGAATGAGACAAGGGTCATGATGAAGGTCATAATAGCTAACTAACTAAATATAATGAAATCGGAAAGATGAAAGTGTTAAGACCATGATAAGATGAGAGATTGAACATACTTCTTTTGCACGCAGAGATCAGGCTTGAATTGATGAATTGCCAGTGCCTCCACTGTGCACAACTGTCGAAAGCGTAGTCCTTTTGAACTATTCCATCTGACACGATAAATGATATTGAAGGAAGATTCTGGTCTAGCTTTATGTCCAGAGTTGACCAAATGTTCAAGAATTGAACTGTTAATTGATTTACATTCTCCCCTCGACAACCATGCAGGATAGTGCTCAGGTATATGTTGTATAGGCCGCACAAAGAGCACGCTTTCCAAACGTATCTCGGAGCACTATCCTGCATGGTTGTCGAGGGGAGAATGTAAATCAGTTAACAATTCAATTCTTGAACATTTGGTCAACTCTGGACATAAAGCTAGACCAGAATCTTCCTTCAATATCATTTATCGTGTCAGATGGAATAGTTCAAAAGGACTACGCTTTCGACAGTTGTGCACAGTGGAGGCACTGGCAATTCATCAATTCAAGTTGTTTCTTCTGTTTTACCAGTTTTATGTACGATTAAAATTATCTTTGCTGTTAAAAAAATATGATAATTTCCAAAAAAGTGTTATGGAATATAATCACAATTCGGATTAGGGTTAATGAGGATTTTATTGATTGGTATTCATCACCGACTGACATAAGTTGAATGACCAGTATGAGACTCCTCAGTAGTAAGCACCCACAACCCAGTTAGGAATCAAACCCTGGATCTTAAAGTTTCATGGCGAACGCGTTAAACATTTAGTCGCTTGGTCAGAGTTCAGTGGTTCATACTTTCCATTTTCTGTCGGTTTGTGATATAACGCGCCAATCATACAAAGTCTTCATTTGGCAGCCACTTCCCTTCCAAATAGTTGACCCCACAGGTTATGGCTTCTCATAAAAACTTCCGAATATCCATCAAGAAGCGTGTCACTGACCAGCACTACATAGTAATGCAATTTACAAATTGATGTGGTTTGTAATTTTGAGGATTTAATTCTCACGGATTGACATTAGTCAGAGAACCATTGAAAACCTGAGAGCACTGGATGGCTGTTTCATCCTACTAAGCGACTCTCCAGCAGTACGCACTCACAACCCAATCACAGATGGAACTCAGGAATGTCAGGTGGACTACTGTATTCTCACCCATTGGCTGAATGGTTAGACTGTTTGTTATGAGACGTGAAAATCCTGAGTTCGCTCATTGATGGGGTCATAAATGTGTACTGTTGAAGAGTCACATAGTGGAACGAAACGGCCTCCCAGTACTCCATAGTTTTCGATGGTTCTCCAACTGATGTCAATCTGTGATGCATAAATATCACCTTGAAATAAAATCACAATTATTTGAACAAACTGTCGATATCTGATTTATGATCATGATAAATTTAACGAATATACCTTTGAAGATAATGTGAGAGTGATTTTCTGATATTCGTTCAAGCTACAAGATCCAACCATCTTTATACAATATGTCAGTATTGATTTTGTGATAGGATTTGTCACTGGAACACGGAGTAATTTGACCTCTTCTGTACTCTTTAATTTCTTTGGTGATAATTTCATTATTTTATGATTGGCTCATAAGTACTGAAGTTTTATAAGTAGTTTACATGACCACTATCTGGTACACACACTTTATCACATTCTAAACAAATTAAGCAGAACTAGGTTTCTAGATAAAACAATGAAACTTTTTTTTCAGTTTGAAGGTTTGTGGGAGTTTACTTATTGATTTCAGGTTGGTTTTCATCATGGACTGACATCAGTAGGAGAAACATTGGAAACCTGGAAGCAATGGAACTCCTCAGGAGTACATACCCGTAACCTCACCAAGATGGGAGCAGTGACCTTCAGGTTCCCAGATCAGAAAATTATAACTGAGCCACGGGATCGGAGTATTATGGTCTATACTTCCTACTTCTGTTAGTTCATGACGCAGCATAACCTCTGCCCAATACCTTCATTGAGTAACTGGCCTCATGTTCGACTTGGTGAACTGACAGAAGTAGAAATATAGACTGCTGGACGCCGATCTGGTGACTAATGGTAACGTGCCTGGAGCAAAACCCGTAGGCCCTGAGTTAGGTTCTTTGTGGGGTCATGGGTGCGTACTACTGAAGAATCCCATACCAGGACGAAACAGGGGTCCAGCGCTTCCAGGTTCCCAGTGTTTCTCCTAATGATATCAGCTCATGATCAGAACCATCCTTCAGATATTCTTTAAAAACCCACCTTAATGTCTTTACAAATAAAGTTTGTCGTTATTTGTGATCAGTTGGTGATTATTGAACGACTTTTTTATTCTCATCTGAAATGCTTCAATAGTGCCTACTAACAAACAGATGATGTCTGAAACTAAGTACTACTAAGCCTCTTGTTAAAGATTCTTAAAATAGGAGAAAAAGCTACTTTGATCATCATTTGTTCTCTGATTGATGTGAATTCATGACAGATAGGTAGTTCGGGGGGCTAAATAGGGTTGCAGGAAAAGTCTGTTAGTTCATATTGTCTTTCTTCGCGGTAGCAAGCAAAGACCAAGTACTCTTCTTTTCATCTTTGCGCACATTACGATCCTACCATATGCATGCAGTATTGCGAAGACATCTGTGCTCTAAAACCGTTGACATATTCATATCGACTTTAAATGCTATAACAGAGTGTACTGCAGAGCAGTTTATTAGGAGATATTTATGTATCTCATTGGTGCTAGAGATGAAGTATGTTCAAGATTGCTGAAAAGGATTTTTATATTCAGGGTAAGATCTTTTCCCCAACTTTTCCACTTAGGCTGATGGAAATTCCAAATTAAATGAAGTGTTCAGCATATTTTATCACTTTCTTCCCTATCCTTAAATTGGAGGTAGTTGTAAATCAGTTTCGAAGCACCAATGAACATTTGACATGTATGAAACGCATGTCAAGCATATACAAATTTCCCCCCTAGGAGTACAGAAGACTCTGATAGGCATAAAATAAATAAGTTCACCGTTACTTTATTGAGTTACCAATCAATTCCTATAAACTATTTCATGTAAGTGAATGTGGTTGATTGGACTCGAATAAACATTCACTTCAGGAGAAGGAATTGAATGAATACTTGTTTGACTGCAGTATTGACTGAGGTTCTTCAAGGTCGATCAACAATGTTATTGATTGATTACTCATATCTGTTGTATATGTTTATTATTTGTAACTTTTTCTCTTTTGTTCTTGTTCCCCAATGTAGGCTAACCTTCACAATAGTGTCTTACCTCATTGGTGTGTTTATTTTTGCAACAATTGTTGGTAAGTTCAGGAGGACTTTTTATTTTTTCTCATCTTATTGTTATTATAATCATTATTATTGATTTGTTTTTCTCATGTGAAAGTTTAGGAGGTTTCTCTTTAAGTTAACGGTTTATTGCTGTGGATACTCGTGGAAAGATTATTTATATCATATACTTCATCACATTATTTAGCCTTTGAATTGTGTATTATGAAGTATAAGTTAATTTTTCTAGATTTCTATTTACGATGTTAACTGAGTTCTGCTGATTGGGATGCAAGTGTATCTCTACTTACCGACTGCTTTATGGCTAACCTTGAGATAGGTATATTGTTGCCAACTTCATGTATATGAAAGATATGTGGACGTTACATTCGTTGTCTGTACTAACAACATGAACTTCACACACCTTTAAAAAATTTCGACGTTAGCTACCCTTCAGTCAAATCCATACTGGAGGCTGAATAGAAATTAATGTTTCATTTTCTTCCAGTCAAACTTTATAGGAGACCTGAAAATTGGATTCAAAGACTCATCTATAGGAAACTCACTTGTAATAAACAATTGAAAAACTTCCAAAGTTGGATGTTCAACTAGGAACAGGAATCTTGTGTGCTCAGTCTCATCGAGAATAAGAAGGATATCCAGGTATGATGCTCTTATACGTGAACTAAAGACTCTTCGAAAAATACTGTTAGAGAATACCTTCTGATTGAGATTTACAAGGAAGAATGTGAACAGATTCAGTAAGCTACGAAGCAGATTCAAAGGTGACGTTGCTTTGGACATTCTTCGTTAATGCTTGTCAAAGATCCTTAATCAAACCTTTCATACTTCAGACTTCTGTATTGTATTCTCGTGTCAACAGTTGATTCGTCAGTGTGTGAAAAATAAGCCGATACACTTCGCCTCATTACTATGTATTTATAAATTTACTTGGTTCTGTAGGGCTGGAGGCATCTTCTGAAGATGCCTATCCCGTACATCATCAACTACAAAGTCATCCACAGAAATCAACAAACACATCACCCTACCATACATAAAAGATATTTCAGAAATCATGACAAGATTACTGAGACCACTTGGAGTTGATGTGGCGCCTCATAAACCAACAAATTCCCTCCAAACAACGTTGTGCAGACCAAAAGACGCAACAACCAAAGGAAACAACCCGAATATCATTTACAAAATCAACTGGAATAACTGTAGTCAACACTACATTGGACAGAGTGGTTACCCTCCTCGCCTTTGTCTACATGAACACCAATTAGCTACTCAACGTCACATATCACATTTCATCACTCATGAATATGAACTGAATTTCGACAGTGTAGAAATTTTGGACACAGAGCGGAAACACAAAGAATATCAGAGAATTACTAGAAGCTTGGCATTCAGATCAGTCAGTCAGTTAGTCAGTCTGTCAGCAATCAATAGATGTATAGATGTACACCCAATCTATCAACCGAAGAGAAAAACGATAAACGACAGGAAGGTGAGAGGTCAAGAAGAGGAACAGCCAGTCAACAAGAAAATTTATTTAGTCAATGACACAACAATCAGAAGAAACAACAAATCACAAATCACTTTATCAGAACAAGCTGCTGAATCACTGATGGAGAGATATTGACAACTCACTTCATTGTGAAGATAGTGCTGATGATGTCACGTCTAGCAAGACGATGAAAGCTCCACGATTAAGCAACCCAGCTCATAGGACACAAAACGACCCATATCATCCACTTGCGCTACAAATATTCTCTATTAATTCAATAAGTTGATACACTTGACCACATTCTATGTATTTAGAAGTTTATTTGCCTTTGTAGGGCTGAGTGTGTTGACCGTCTTATGCATTAGCTTGAAAAGTGTGCTCACAAACAGTACCCAGCTTCGTTATTCAATGATGAACACAAAACTGTCTACAGTTGAATCACTGAACACTTTGTAGACTCTGAAAGACATATTTTAATCCTTTAGAAAATGCATTTCCTTTCTTAGAGTATTAAAACTTCAGAGTATTTATAAGAAATATCGTTACTAGGCTACTTACATCTTCGCCAGCCTTTTGCCGGATCTCCTAAATCCACTTTAGGTTTGTTTATTTGATGTATAACATACACTTATACAGTATTATTTACTTCATGAGGTTTCCAGCATTAATTATGACTGCTCATAATCATTATCAATGTGATCACACTCCACTTTCAACAGTCTATTTTTTTTACTCCTGTTACCTCATATTCTTTGTTTTTATTGGTAGTAAAATTTTCCATATTTCTGGTGTTACATCATTTCTATTACATGTGTTGGGAATTGATTTAATGAACAAAGATTCAGTAATCAATCTTTCTCGCCAACTTATTATATTGGACTTGAGTACAGTGGTTTCATTCCCCCCCCCCCCTGTATTGTGTGGCTGTGTGTTAATCCATGAATTGCAACAGCTGAGTTTTTTCTAGATTATTGATCTTATTTAGGTCTGTTATTCTATATTTAGCTAAATTCTTATGTTCGGTTAATCTAACTGACCCCGACCGGCTAGTCTGACCTATGTACTTGACTTCATAGGTATCACATGGAATTTGGTAGATTGGATTATTTCGTTTAATTGGATCTGTCGGATGCTTAAGCCAACCGACAAAGCTTATCTCTGAGTGAGTTTGTAGGTTTAAATGCCAATCTAATTCCAGCCTTGTTGAGAATCCTGATGTACCTTCCTTATTGGGTAACACAGTGGAGGATATGAACTCCTTTCTACTTATGTTGTCGCCATTATTTTTATTCGTAATACTGTTATTATTCTGTTTCCTATGTTTTCCTACGAATTTCTTAATAAACTCTGGTGGAAAACTATTAGTGATTGATTCTTCATGTGTTACAATTCCTTGTTTAAGTCCTTCCATTGACTAGTGAGTTGTCTGGCTCTATTATTTGGGCATTTGACTAGAGCCACCTTAGCTAACAATGGTTGGGATAACCTGAAATTTAGACACCTATTAGAATGTGTCGGTCTCCTGTAGACGGTAGTAGTATTCTACGCTGAGGTACGCATCACAGACAAAATCATTGGTTGAAGGCCCTAAGTGGCATAACTAAGAATTATACTTGACGATACAAATACATCCATGCATTATCTCCCTTCTGATCATCATATCAAATTCAAATACCGTTAAATCTCATTCTCCTCTGTTCTTCGTATGACTTTCTACAAGTATTGAGTAGATTTGTTCTTGTCTTTCTGTTTTTTTCATTTCCTTGTTTTTTTTATCTTGATGAGTTTTTCAGAAGTATAGTGTGTTAGACTTTTACTCAGTGCTTTTACACTGCTCACTCATATTCACTTGCCTCTACTTCAAAGTAGGTAAGTAGAGTGAATCCAATGTATCACATAGTGTTTATCTTCAAGATATTTTTAGCTCATTGTATCAACTGCTTTAGTTAAACTACTAATTACATTTAAAGTCAAAGTGGAAAAATAGAAAGTTACTCATTTAAGTTTCAAAGATAAACGGAATACAATTTTAGGCTTCTATTCTTCCCTTCTTTCATTGTTATTCGAATGTTCGGCTAGTTGAATCTTCAAACAATTTGAAATAAGCTTTCCATTTCAACTGAAAACAATTATGGTTAAACTCCTTCACATTAGTAAAACAATTAGTATTGCTATAAACATAAATGTGGACATATTGATCTTAGTGACTAGCAGAGGAATCCGAGACACGCGTTTCGTCGTATTTAGGACTCATTGGGTGAATGTGCCTGCACTCCAGTGCGCAGTGATGTTATTCCCATGAAGGCTTAAACCTAGTACACTTCGTTTCAAACGTCAGTTCATTAACCTGAAACCAGTGTGGAGATCTTCTACACTGCTCTCAGTACAGAGCATGAACAACATCCGGATTTTCAACACCAATGTCAGTCAAGTCAGTGCTGCTATTTGATGGTTCAGAGACTTGGCGCGTTACGAAATGCATTTCCAACAAACTACAGATATTCATCAACAGCTGCCGCCTACGTTCGTTACTGAAGCTCAGATGGCCAGACAGAAGAAACAACAAGGAACTCTGACCGGGCAACGAACCAACGAAGAACGTATCACCCATGAGGAAGTGGAGATGGATTGGGCATACACTGAGAAGACCATTTGGAGACATCACGCGCCAGGCCAGGCTGTGGAGTGGAACCCAAATGAGGAACGATGAGTTTGGTGTGTGAGGATGACATGGAAAAGATGATGTGGGGGCGAAATGAAAGCTTGTGCACAGTGTTGGAGCCAAGTTGAAAAGATTACAGAGAACAGAGTGAAACGGAGGCGTGCTACTGAAGCCCTATGTTCCACCAGGAACCAAAGGGAGAAATAATAATGATAAATAATAAAGGCACTCGGAGCCAGTCAGGTAGATATCCTCTTTGAAACAGGTTTCGTGCTTATTGGCACTCGCCAACAAAGTGTATTGGCAGCTTCCGTGGAAATGATGTCGTATCTGGAATTCGAACTCATGTCACCAAGTGCAGCAACCAGAGGCTCTACCAATGAGCTATTTGACACGCGACTGACCTCACGTAGAACTAGGTTAGGTGCATTGTAACACAGTTTAGCTAAAATTGAACGAATTTCAACCTACTGTTTGTTCCGTAACCATAGGTTTGGCAATCAAGGATTATTCAGCTGGTATAAAAGTCTGTGATCCTTGCTGACTATTCCTGTAATAGTTATGTGATGAAGTGATGTGCACTTAAAAGCTCACTACCATCTATCTGCCATGATATTTTTCGCAATTTTGTTGTAAAACTTGTATGTCAATAGATTGAGAACATTTTTAAAATGCTCGAGAGTACATTTTATGATTTTTTGAATAATTAAAACAAATCTCGAAAAGAGTAGTTGGATGTAATTTATGTGATGGAAACTTTCTGGTAGCCAAACATTTTAAGCAGCCGGCCGAAATAGTAGCATGATGTGTTGAGCACTAATTCATTGTGTAAATAAACAAAAATAATTAGAATGAAATAGTAA